CTTGGAGGGCTCCTCCACCCATAGATTCACTTCAGACATAATATCATAGTATAAAAGCATATATGAATCAGAATATGTATATCAATGAATGTGTGTAATAATAAATCCCACTGGCTAGAGAATATAACAAGTATGCATTACGCAAAAAAATACCGTCTTGCCACATACCGTATGAGGAAACACTGTCTCATACTATGCATAAGAAAACACCGTCTTATGCCTCACATAAGGAAACACTGTCCTGTGTGGCACACAAACATACATGCATATATATACAACATATAACAAATCATTTTTAACATACAATATCAAAGAACCATCCTCCCTCAGAGTCTGATGGAACAAACGAGGGATTAACCCCAAGGACCGAAAGCTTACCTGTAGCTTTCACCTAAGCTTGCTTCAAGCTTAAACAAGGTCCTCCACAAATACTTGAGTATCAACTCAATTCACAACACCTATTTCAAGGTAAAAATTATCACAATTAATCACATATTCATTATATAAGTCTCATCTCAAACCATTGTTGATTCTTACCTTAATCCAAAACAATCAAGAGCTTTGTTCAATGTCTATATCTTGATCTAATCTATGCTCTTGCTCCAGTAGTCCACTTGGTTTCACACTATAACCAATGAACACATATCCATCAATATTCACATTTATAAACTTAACGTGAATCCTACATAAAACCAAGGTTTTCACACTTTAATATCACTTGATTTTGAGTCCAATTTATTAAAGTGTTCTAAATGGCAATTTCATAATTTTTTCTTTTACATGAATCAATCCCAAGCATGTTTAACAAAGGGAGTCACCACCAAATCACCCTCCAACTACTCAAGCCATGAAACTTTCAAAATTGACATATAGCCAAAAAAACCATGATTTTCTAGATTGAGCTAAACAGTGATTTCTTTTGTTGTCTTTCATCAAGAAGAAATCCTAAGCATATTAAACAAAGGAAGCTATATCCAAATCACTCTCTAACTATCCATACCATTAAATCCTAATTTATAAACCCTAAATCATGACATTTCCAAAGAAATCAAATAGAAAGGGTTATGCCTTCTTACCTAGGAGCTTCAACAACCAAGAAGGAAGGAAATCCAAACTTTCAACCAAGGAAACTTCTCCTTCAAGCTCCAACCAGATTTAATAGCTCCAAGGGGTAGATTTTCTCACTCAAATCACTTAAACTCTTGTGGTTCCAAGGATGGGGTGAAGGGTGAAGGGAGAATGGAGGAGGGGTTAGTGTTTTCTTGTCTTTAAGTGATATGAATGAAGAAAAATGGAGAGGGAAATAGGAGAGCTTCCTTCGGCTGGGAGAAGAGTTTCCGCATGAGAAAAAGAGAAAATGAAGAGAGGGAGAGTGTTTCTCACACATTTAAGTGATTACAAATATCCTAGTGGATATAAACTTATCTACCCCGCTCACTTAACTCTCAATCCAACTTTACACATTAATCCAGAATATTTTTATGGTAATATTTATAATTTTATCTCCACTTTTTGGGTAACTTTATTTACCTGCATTTTTACCCCTTAATTGTCATTTCTAACTCATTTTCACTATGTGGCTTTAATCTTTTCATCAGACTACTACTCTATTTAATTCTTCCTTAATTATTGTTATTTCATAATAATTTCATAAACTCCTTAATTACCGGTTAGGGTCATTATATCATACATGATAGATTCCTTGGCCAATAAGACTATTCGCATATGAGAATCCTTAGGATGGCGAGAGTGCCAGATGGATAACTTATGGAGATGTTTTACACACTGCATGGATATGAATATATTGTATTATTTACTGTTATTGCTTGTACACTTAAAGTAAACTCTGGGGTGGAGGAATCCTCCAAGGACCCCTGGTTTACTGAGATGGTTATCTCACCCCGTTTTGTGGGGACCCCCTTTTAGGTACAGACACTGATGGTGCGAGAGCATCTATAGGCAGGAGGCCTATGTAGACTGTGCTCTTTGGCATGTCGTTGTTGTTGTTTATGCATTTGGATTATTTATGTTTTCAGCATGTTATTTTGGATACTGTAACATCATATGTTTATGTAGTCTTATTTTGAGAGTATGTATTATTGATGCATGGAGGAGGGACTTAATTTATGATCATAGTTATTGGATACCTTTCATGTTGTTGATGCATGTAAAGGACTTTGATCATATGTTTTGTAATAGTTAAGTTTCCATTTATGTATTTTGATGCAATTATGATGGAAGGGTTTGTACGCCTGTTGGATAGACTGAGATGATGTCAATATTTATCAAACTGTTTATCAGGTTGAGATATCATGTGAGAATTATTCCTAGATATTCGAAAAATAAACGGAGCTCTTATCATTTTGTTTAGGCGATGTTTAAGCGAGATTAGTTATTTCTGCAATTTGTACAAGTTATAATTACAACTTGAATTGTTTATAAATACGAAAAGTGTTTTAATCAAAAAATAATATATTTTTAAAAGAAAAATATTTATCCATGTTTTAAATATTATTATGTATTAATATTTAGAAAAATATTATCATACATAATAATAATAAACCGATTCTAGAACGTAGTGTTATAGCTAATCATGTTAATTTGTTTACAAAGATATGGATTTTTTTTGGGAAGAAATATGAAAAAATTTAAATGTGGGTTAATAGAACACGAATAAGTTATAAACATAATTATATTTAAAAATAATTTCAGATTAATTTTTTTTTATAAACATCCAATGATTTAATAAATTCAATGCATAAAAAAGGCTTGTTCACTTCTATTCAAACTTCGAGTATTCAAGCCAAATAATATAACGAAGGGCATAATTAATTTTGGATGATCCAAACGCTAGTTGTTTCCCCCACCTGACCTAACAAGTACTACGCCTACTCGTCTTGTAAATACCTAATAAAGATTCAACAAAAAAGAATGGATAAAAAAAAAAAAAAAAAAAAGACAATTCAAAAGGTCAGAATTAGTTAGGACTTGTGAGCTTGACCAGTACGGCAGTAAGGTGTCCGCAAGGAAAAATTTATAGTATTGATATTTTTCTAAAGAGAGACAAAAATAAAAATAAAAATTCAGAAATGTATAGTATAAAATTTCTTTTCGCATTCAATGGTTTGCACCTCAATCATACTGAAAATGCTCTCGTCCGACATGATGGGCAAGATATTTGTAATTTGTAATTTTTATATTTAATTTAAATATTCAAGACAATATATGACATTGTTTGAAAATCGAATACAGTGGATGTGAAGAACGTCACAAGAATACTTTAATATAATTTTGATGAAAAGAATAAGTAATGGTTAAAATCAACTAATAACATCAGCAGGGACGTCAGTATTTTTATTTTTATTTTAAAGAAAATAAATGCTTGAAAGTTGTAATTTCCCTCGTGTATTGTTTTTGAGTCTTCACTTCCGAAATATTGGCAACTATTACAATCAAAACCTTGACATTTTGACTTCTAGATTGATTAATCAGTCAACATAATTGATCAGTTCATCTATGCGTTGAAAGGAACTTTGAACCAATAGTATTCAACTTCTAGATAAATAGTAACTCAATTACGAAAAGTAAGATTACTATAGTTGTGCAAGTAAATCATGTTTCCATTTTATTTTTAATGGTCCAAATTAAACACAAATTCAAACCCCTCTTTTATAATTAAGTCGAGTATGATTTATTGACAAACTACAGTTTCAATTTTTGGAGTAAAATTTACAACAATTTGCTATAGTATACCTTAAATATGTCTTGATGTCATGAGATGTTTTGTTTTAGTAAAACTTCTGGGAATCAATCACATTGACATTTTTTTGTTTGTTTGTTTGTTAACATAGCATCCACGAGGTTGGCACTTATGATTCTTTAGTCATCGCATCCCTCCCCATACAGGAAAGCAGCCATAAAGTTTTATGGGTTTTGCCAGGGCACACAAAGTTAAGCTTCACGTGGTCGTTTCCCACCTTAATACTATATAGTCTATAAATGACGCCTATAAAATGAAAATTTTTTTGACGTTGGACTGCTTCTCTTTCATCCTTTTCCCATCTAAATTCATGAATCTGTTTCGGTGGCTACATCATGTTGACAGTCTTTGACACATAATTAAATAGTTAAATTGTCTTTTCCTTCTAGATGCTTATTTATTTATTTTATTAATCAATTATAGTATATTATCTCTAAAATTCTATAATTGCCCATCACGTTTTGAAAGAATATAAAGAATATATTATTATCATTTTTTTTCGCCTAAATCGCAAGGATTCATCACTATGAATTAAGATTTAATTTTCAAACATACTAGTACGAGAGACCATATTATTTGTACCTAAACAATACGTAGTGGATCTAAATATTGGTACAAGTGATAAGGAGTTTGTCTTGAGTTTGAGCCATGGAACGAAAAAAATGGTCTGCTTAAGATCCGTCGGTGTTCAAACCAGATTAATCCGAAGAATGAATCAGTTGAGGAGACTAAAAAAAACAGTACAAAATTATGGAACAGAAGAAATGGTGTGTAATGCAGGCATCAAAGTGACTTTCAACCTTAACAGCTAAGAAGTGTCTTTGCCAACTCTTTTGAACCTTTTTCAAAGCCTGATCAGCTAGCTAGAGTGACTTTGTATTTTGCAACATGCGGCTTGTTGCAAGGTTACTCCTTATTTATATAGACATAAATAAGATTTTGTGGCCAGGTAAAGGGAAGGTTACCCATTTTATTAAGCTTACCCTAAATATGAAAGAAAAATAAAGGGAGGGGGGAAGAACTTGGGGTCAATGTCCTCTGTTGATAATTAATGAGTGTCATCCTATAAATTATTCAACCTGGTTGTACAAGTAGGGTAAAATGCCATCAGCAGCTCCAAAAGTCCAAATCGTTATTCAAACCAACTTTAATAACTCATCCTATATTCCTATGCATTTTTTTATTTTTCCTTTACAGTTTACACTAGTGATCTATATACATTCACTTGAAAGTATCTATTCTATCGCCTTTGGAAACTAAAGACCTTCACAGAAATAGCAAAGATAATAGCAAATAGCACTGTGAACCCAACAACTACACCTGCAGCAACTCCTACAAAATCATCTCTATAACCAAAGTATCTTCTGAGAAACTCTTTCACTGTCTCGTTTGACTTAATTGTACTTGTTACATCTCCAAATTGTGATGCAACCAATCCATATAAGGTCCAAGCCACAGGACATGCCCAATAGTACCATCTCCACCACACAGGAATATTCTGTCATCAAATGTGTAATAAAAAAATAGCAAATAATACTAAGCATCAGTATACACACACCTATAGAATTTCCTCACACGCATTGACATTTGTAGGTTAAATGACTTACAGGTTGTGGGACAATAAATCCAGAAAACAGATTCCAAATTCCATAAAATGAAGTAGCCACAATTGAAGCAACATGTTGGTTAGGTGTTACAGCCACAGTCATCATGCCATAAAAGGTGAAGTATAGAAATGTGAAGTACATAAAGAACAGATACCAGAAGAATTTGGATGCAGTCCATTCAAATCCGATCATTGCATAAACTACAAGGCCATATGTCACAGCTTGAACAAGAATATATGGTAGCTCTATTACAACCTGAGTAAAATGAGTCATAAGTTACATCAATAGGCTTAAAATATAAAATTTGGAAATAAATAAAGTTTCTAAAAGTTATTCTAATTACCTGTGCAACTGCATAGGGGATGGCTGAGTACATTCCAGCTGCTCTTTCTCTATAAAAGACAGTTCTTTCAATGGCCACCACAGGCTGCACTGAAGAGGCATTTTGGATCCCAAGGAAGAGAATGGCATTGTACATGGAACCTATAGCATTAAACAGATCTTGTTTCCTTCTTCTGCAAGTTATACAAAAGGTGATCAAATTCTCAGGAGGATGGGGGGTTTAATACAATTTATGCATTTTTTTTTTTAAAATTATGAATTAACCAATAGTAACTCACGTTTTGGATCCAAGGTCCCAGAACATAGTTCCAAACATCAAAGCTACGAATATAGTGAACAATAACCTCACTGCAGTATATGGAGGATTGCGCCAGTATGACCAATGTTGTTTCCATAAGCAGGCCATGCATTGGATGAAAAATGGTTGTGCATATTGAGTAGGAAAATGAAGTTCCTTGGAACCAGAACAAGGCTTGCTCAATTCTGCTACAAGTGCTTTGTTCCTCCTAACATATGGCATATATATATAAATTTTCATAACTAGTTTCAAGTAATATCCTTGTAAGATTTTTTTTTTGTGGCAAAATAAGAATGTCGAGTAACCCTATAAACTGATTTACCTATATAGTTCTGAATTTTTGTATATATCAGCGAAGTCAACATTCAAATCCTTTTCTCGTGCCGAAGTTGTAATTTCCAACATCCAAGTTGCCGGGTTGCAACCATCTTTGATTTTACTAACCCCTTCAATCCCCTGGTTGAAAGCAAGGTCAAATGTCGTATCAGTAACAAGTATCAAGAACTATAATTGTCATTTGACATGCTTGTAGATTTTTTTAGACACACCCTACCTCAAAATACTTGATGAGGTGGTTAGAATGACGACCTAATGGCCCAACATATATTTCTTGTCCTCCTCGCTTCAGTAGGAAAAGCTGAAACCAATATTTTGTATATCAAGATCAAGTTGAATGGAAAATACAGTATGTTTTGATCAATATCATCCCTCACCTCATCGAAAGCTTCAAATATGTCAATGCTTGGTTGATGGATTGTACAAACAACTGTTCTTCCTGTGTCCACTGTGTTCCTAACTGTTCTCATAACAATTGCAGCAGCTCTGGCATCTAACCCAGAGGTTGGCTCATCCATGAATATTATGGAGGGATTAGCCACTAGCTCAACTGCTATAGTTAGCCTCTTGCGCTGTTCAGTAGAGAGACCACTCACACCAGGCAAACCAACCAGGGCTTGCCTCAGTAAGTTCAACTCTACAAGCTCCATGACTTCCTCAACGAACATCTGTAACCATTTATCATATCCAATTGTAAGGATAATTAACTCTTACACTTATGATCAGTTAGTATAGACAACTCTCAATGTGCTTTTGGGGCGACAGAGAAGGGTATATAAGCTTTAGTACTAACCTTTCTGGCTTCAGCATTGACTTCAGGTGATAAACGAAGCCATGCTGAGTAGAGCAAGGATTCATAGACTGTAACATGAGGAGAGTGGATATCATTCTGCTCACAATAGCCAGAGATTCGAGCAAATGTTTTTTGCTTTTTGGGGGACCCTGAAATTGTGATGCTTCCCTCAATATATCCTCCAGTCTTCCTTCCAGCCAACACATCCATCAAAGTTGTTTTACCAGCTCCACTTACACCCATCAAAGCTGTGAGAACACCTGGCCTGAATGCACCACTAAGACCCTTCAGAAGGACCAATCTCTCCTCAATTACACCTCGATTCTTCATTTCCTGCAAGTATAAATCAAAAGGGTGTGGAGTTTCTATTTTACTGGCAGCAGCAGACTAATGATAATAAGATTACGTGCTCTTCAAGTTCAATCTAACTATTTTCGTATGAAAATCAATCACCTGTGGCATGTTTACTGAGTATGTGATTCCATCAAAGGTGAGAGAATGTGGTTCAAATGGAAGAACCATTCCTCTTTTCCTCCTGTGGCTGGACTCAACAACAGCCTCTGGCCTCAATGATGCAGACATGGAAGACATACTTTCTGTCCCACCGTTATCTAAGTTTCCTGCAAGACAATTGAAAGGTTTTTCAGAATCTGAAGGCTTGATTCGAATTACAATTGAAAAAACACAAATTTACATGCTTTATGTATATGCAGTTCATACATAAAAAACAAATCACCTATCTTTATCTTGCTACTTGCGGCATTTCCTCCGAGTCTGATTGGTAATCCAATGCCTTCAAGAGTTTGCTCTTTATGCTTCTTGCCTTGAGATTCTTTGGATATGACAGCTCGTGGCTTCTCAAGTGCTGCTCAATCAATAGCATATGTAAGTAATAGTATCATTGCTGCAACAATATAAAAGCTGTATGGGGGAAGATACTCACGGTTGAGATAAGTGAGAGCTAAAGTGAAAGTTATGTTCAATAGAATAACAAATCCAAACAGTGCCCCTACCCCTATCCAATACCAATATGCATGCCTGAAAAACCCACGAGACTTCAGAACCTCAACTCCCAGTGGTTCAGTTGAACTTGGAAGAACCTATAATTGGTGTTTGGTTAGCAAAGAAAAAGAAGTAATTAGATGCTCTATTAGGCTTCAAACTAGAGAGAAAACATTTGAAATTTGATGATTCAAGAAATTACGTGGTTCCAACTCTTCCCAAGGAACTCATTGACCATTATAGCATTCTGCTCATACATTATAGGTGAAATCCAGTAACCCCATATCCACCATTTCTTAATATCCTCTGTTTCAATAGGAAATCAAAAGAAAAAACAATACATAAGGTTCAAAATTTTCAAGAGTAAAAACTTTTGTTACATTCAGTTGTACCTCTTGACAAGATGAAGCCACCCAAGGTCAGAAGTGTGACTATTGCAAATGACCCAAATGTGTTGGCAATAATCATATTCCTACCCATTGCTGCAATTGAACCAAACAATGCAGAAGCCATCTGGCCAAGTAGAAATAACAGAAGACATTGCTTGAAAAACCTGCATCAAGAGCAGCATGTCACATCTAATGCAACATAATGAGTCTTCCCCAGGTTCAAAGTAGATAAACATAACTTATTTACCTGCCAACATTTGGGTCAAATCCAATCACATAGTAGGTGAGAGATCCCCAGACAACAACTTCAGCCAATGTAATAGGGATCTTAAGGATCCAGCTAGGAATAGCATATACCCATGCAGGATAGAATAGGAGGTCCCTTTGCTTGTAAAAAATAGGAAGCTTCCCTATAGTCATAGAAATATCTGGCATTCCATTAAACAAGATCATTACTATAGTGAAAAAAAGTGCACCAATGTAAACTCCCCCATTATCCACAGAATCCCGGTGCATCTCAGTTCGCAGGAATACTGTCATTGCTACCAACGCCATCACTGCGAGCTAATCGCAAAAGAAGAAAAATCACAAGTGAAAATCATGCACGCAAAAAACAAAAATAAGAAAACGAAGCAATCGAACATAGTTCCATTTCAAGGATAGCTAAAACCAACTTGAGATAGCTTGAAGATGTAAACAAATGCATTCCTCTTCATAAGCAAAAACTCTCTTGAGAAGTTAGCTTTCAAAAGCTCCTTTTTGTTCACCCCATACTTGTCAGTTGTTAATGCAGCTGGGTGGTTCTTTGTCTTGTCAAATGGAACTGCTAGCTCATCTCCAATTTTCCTACCCACATGGAAGCATTGAAATGCCTCAGCAAATTCATTAACTGTAACAAAACTGTATGGTTCATCTTTGTGTACCCAGTACTGTTCCTGATCCTTCCTTGAAGTTACCTGCAAGAGTAGATAAAGAATATAGATGCATATGATTCACGGCTATGAAGCACCGATACTCTTTAATCTTTTTTTTCAACGTATTGGATATGCATATCGGAAACGTATTACTTGGTAATCTACATCCTGTATCATCGAATAACGTATCGAAAACGCGTATCGGTGCTTCATAGATTCATGGATACATATCTTTATTTTCAATTCAATAATGAATATGAGGTAAGAAAAGGTAAAGATTGATGTACTTCTTGAAGGAAGTCAGCAACGCCTTTCCTCTGAGGACATCTGAAACCCAAAGATTCAAAAAATTCAAGAACAAGCTCACGAGGTCCTTGGTAGACTATTTGGCCATCAGAAAGGAGGATAATGTCATCAAAAAGTTCATATGTCTCGGGTTCTGGTTGCAATAGAGAGATAACTGCTGTTCCATTAAGAATATGAACAATTTGTCTAAGACATTTCATAATTTGAACAGTTGTGGAGCTGTCCAAGCCAGTAGATATTTCATCCATGAACAGTGCATTTGCTGGACCAACCAACATCTCCCCTGTAAACAATGCATACAAAATATGAATATATAATGGAGAAACTGAATAGAAATCACTTTTAAGGACAAGGAATTGGATCACTACCTGTGGTAACACGCTTCCTTTGCCCACCAGATATACCACACAACGTTTCATCCCCAACCACAATATCAGCACATATTTCCAGTCCTAAGATCTGTAAATTACATAGTAAATAAATGCTTGGGAGCTATCAAGAAAGTATGCAAAACACTTTGGAGATATCACCTTAAGTACATATTCTGTGATCATTTGGTTTGCTTCCTGACCTTCAGATGCTGTTGCCTGGTCAATGAGACGAAAAGATAATTTGTTCATCACAATTAACCATTTCAGTGAATTTAAGCGAAAGGAGAGGATAGTGAAGGTTGTATATATAATAAAAATGAATAGCATAACATGTTTTCCTAAGCAGATTTTCCAATGGAAACTTTGGACATAAAAACACACTTTAAAAGCTCCTTGTTCACCTTCATGTAGATATCAATATATGGATCAGGCTTAATATTTGCTGCTATCTCTCTTCTTGACAGTTCAGATAGCAAGTCTGTACATGGCCAAAAACAATACTGAGTCAAGCTTAGATTACATGTATGAAAGTTATAATTTTGATAAAAGCAAGAGGTGAAATGGAAGGTATTTTTTAGGTAAAAGTTGACTAACCATAACGTGATCCAACCCCTTGGCACCTTGCAGAGAAAGCCAAGGTTTCCCTTACAGTCATTTCTCCAATATGAACATCATGCTGGCTGATATAGGCAGCAGTTCTCTGGGGTACAAATTCATTCATTCCATGGCCATTATAAGTCACTCTCCCAGAAACCTGTAGCATATATCAGCATTCAAGTTGGATATAAAATAATTGAATTAGCTGATTGAAATAGAAAGCAAAGGATGAATGGATTTCTTTTCACTTTAAGATCTGGATCAAGTTTTCCGGCCAGAGCCAAAAGGAGTGTGGTTTTTCCTGAACTTGGAGGACCCAAAAGCAATGTCATCCTGAAAAATGCAATGGTGAAGTACGAGACTGATATATTGGAAAATGAATAAGGCTTAAGCTTTATGAATCCACTCTCACCTCCGAGGTTTTACTATTCCACTAACATCTTTAAGAATGGTCACATGTTTCTTTTTGCTTGAAAGAATGTGCAGATAATTCAAATAACTCTGGAAGATAAAAATTTGTCAGAATAATTACAGAACGAAAACAATCAAAAAGCAACAATAATCTTGATAAAAAAAATGTTTAGAAATCACACGTTGTTACCTCTGCTATATTAACAAAGAAGTTAAAAAATGTCTGTAAAGCTCTGCTGCCAACATAAGCTTCTGCCTCAACATTGAGATGCTCAAACCTGGCTTCGATTGTTGGAATACGAATACCAACTCTAGAAATATTAAAAGATAGATAAGGAGGAGAAAACTCATTGGTGCATAGTCAAGGAAATACATGAAAAAAAACAAAACAATAAAAGCCGAAACATTTTGCCATGAAATCTATGGATAACAAGAACCAAGACAAGGTAATGGGAAATAAAAGGAAAAGGGAACAAAAAAGCATTATTAGCAGTGGTTTTATTACCTATCAATTCTTTCCCTCAGCTTCAACAGAAATTTCTCATTGTCCTCTTCAGCAACTCTTACCAACCTCTCCAACACTTTCTTTCTTTCCTGTATTCCAATATCAGTGACATCAATTTCTTTCACCTCACCACTGGATGTGGTTAACAAGCCTTTCTTTAAACGATTGTAAGTAGGAAGTTTTTCAAGTGCTGCCCATTTCAGAGATTCTTCATCATCTACTTCATTTGATGACCTAGAGAAAACATCCATTGCATTGTTTCTCCAAATTGAAGAACTGCTAGCTCGTAAGCTGCTAGTAGCTTTATTCAGGTCACCACTATCCATTGTCAACCAAGAAAGGGGTGGAAAATACAGATGAAACAAATGCTCAAACTCACCAAATTAAATCAGTTTATCCTTAATTTATATTCTGGTTTATCCCAGCAACTGTTATTCCAAACTTTCATCTAAACAAAGGAATAGTATTATTGCACCTATTAAGTAAAACAAACTCTTGTAGTTCAATATAGGTGGAATAAATGGATTGAACTCAATAGCTAAGAGAATTGAAACAAACTCTTTCTCTGCCTGTGCAGTTCAGTCCTCTCGTCCTAAGTATATGCGAAAGAAAAGATTGGCATGCATGAATATATAGGTAAAAGGGTGACTCTGCAGCATGAGAAGACACTAGAGTCAAGCAAGGATTACTCAATTGTTGTGTGTATGGCCAAATTTAACCATGCAATGGGTTATCCGATGCATTATTGTTTTACGAGTCAGGATATTCTTACTGTAAAGAACCTTGGGTTATCAATTTTTTTCACTATAATTTTAATCCTCGTTGGATTAAAGGAAAAATTGAACGAAGGAAGAGAAAAGAAAAACAAATTTTGAATCCAATGATGATTAGAGTGGTAGTGAAAAGAATTTAGGAAAAAGTTCACCAATGCCCCTGTGTTTTGCTTCAGAATCATCTATGTTCATGTGATTTTTTTTATCACATATACCTCTGTGCTTTGTAAAAAAAACAAAAAACTATAGGAGCATATGTGATAAAAAAACATATTCTTTTGCAAACCACATGGAAATATGTGATAAAAAAAAGCCACGTAAACATAAATGATTCTGGAGTAAACCACGTGAGTATGGGTGAACTTTTCCCAAGAATTTATAATAAGAATATCTTACCTCTTGTTTTATAATGAAACTTAAAGGAATAGAACTCTCGCCACCAAGCATATGGACCAACGGGTTTATTCTCGCTTATTTGAGAAATATAATATAAGATTATTAAAGTCTCATCACTTGTAAGCTTGCTAGGTGCTATGATTGTTTAACATGATATAGAGTCAAAATTGAACAAGGAGATCACAAGTTCGATTCTTATCACCTCTCACATTCTAATAAAATTAAAACAACACAAGAAAAATATAATATAAAATCATGAAATACTCGTCACTTATTAGTTTAAGCTGTCTCTTGAGATAATTGTTTAACATAGATAGTGAGAGTTTTGCCACCGATGAGTTTTACTTGAATTTGACTATTCAAGTAATTGATGCATCTATTAATAATATTAAAAAAAGAAAAAAATGAACTCTCTGATTTGGACTCATAACGTCATCTGTTTACCTGCACCATCTATCAGTAGTTGACCTTTTCCTCATAGTAATAATACTACTACGAATTATGAAACACAGCCTTGGCAACTTCTCTACAATGAAAAATCATTCAAACGCTTGATTGACAGCATAATAATATATTATGGGGAACACAATATCCTTCAAGTAAAGCTATAATTTTGTTTCATAATACACTTCATCATAACAAAAAAGGTTGGTTAAAATTTGGAAGCTAGACAATTTCAAGTCTTAAAGAAATGAATACTTTGGATCTTGCGTTGTGCAGTTGGTAATTCATAAAATGCAAACATTGTGTTGTGTCGCCTGCTTTATTGGCTAGACGAAAACCTCGAGGTAATGAATTTGAAAATTTGTTTGTCAACGTTAACAAGAAAGGTTTGGCTCATGATTATCTCACACGTATGGTTGACTCATTGACTATGAATACCTAACATACACGAGCATAATACCCGTTACTGTATTCAAAGAGGGATAAAGATATCTCAAAAAAAAAAAGAGAGGGATAAAGTTCAAATACCCGTGGGATTTTCAATTTAGAAAATAATTTTTATCTCCTACAATATTAATATATTATTTGTATATCATGTAATTTTTTCCTTTCAAATCCATCTAAACATGATTAAAAATTTGCAAAATATTTCTCTTGCTCGTGAACAATAAATAGATTATTTTATTAATTATCTCCCTTCTCAGTTTATACTACTTACTGTAACACCTCGTTCTATAATCGGTTTGTTAACATTACGTATGACATTAGGCGCACTTACACACACAACAATTGAATTAAAATACGTATAAACTTTTTACTTTTGTGTTAATAAACGTTTATGTTTAAAGTCAATTCCAAAAGTTGCAATCTATAATATCCCAAACCTAATGAAATAGTAAATTACATGTAATTAAGTAAATTAGCATGTATTAGTGAGTTGAAATAAGTAAAAAGCCTAATTAAATTAATTAGGATCACTTTTGAGGTAAAAAATACATTCAGTGAAAATTATAGGGTAAAATACTAAGGCTAGGTGTAATCTCCAGAACTTTGGCGCTATTAGCGCCAAGATACAGTGGGAAAACGCATTCCCGGCGCCATTCGCGCCATGTTGGCGCCGTTCGCGCCATAAGTTTGGGAAGCTTCTGTTTCCTGGCGCTAATTGCGCCGGTATGGAGCTAATCGCGCCGGGCCTAGTGGATTCAGCGCTCGTTTCTTAGAAAATTCATAACTTGAGCTACGGTGCTTCGAATTGAGCGCGGTTTGAACCCACACGTAGCTAATGAAGATATCTATAAAATACTAGAAGATGAGGACCATATAAGTAGTATAAAATATCTTAGGTAACTAAAAAGTGGATGTATTTAGTGTTGAATGACAATAAAAATGAGTTTTAAGCCTTGGTGGTCTAAGGGGATTACTTGGCCCACTATGGTAGCAACGTACGGTCTAAATAAAACTTACAATAGATGTTCCATATATAGTTTAAGTTATTATCACATTTATGAGAATTGTTTTAAGTACAGAATTGATTTTAAACAAAAACGTTTATAAATAAAAAGGAAAAAGTTTATCCGTATTTTAATTCAATTGTTGTGATTGTAACTACGTATAATTTCATACGTAATGCTAACAAACTGGTTCTAGAATGGGGTGTTACATTTTATGGTCTCAGAGCAGTTCTAGGGAAAATAAACCTAGTGTGGTTGTTTGACAAAGTTTGTTCGATGATTCCTAATGTTTGACTTGATTATGCATTGCTAGATGCTTAGTATGAGTTTGGCCGACTCGTTCTTAGTACGACGATTGTATAATTATGGTGAACATTGGGATACACTCGAAGGATAATGGAATACTGAAAATATTGTTGATAGCAAAGGTATCAAGATTAAATGTTGTAATGATTTAGGTTGCACACTTAAAATCAATTGTTGTATTGGGTGGATAGACCTTGTGTAAGGTTCTTTGAAAGAAATTTGTGAATGTGCTATTATATATGTGTATACATTGATTATGATAGTGCTATATGTGGAAATTATGATAGATACCATGTAGTAGTAGTTGTAGTATTTTTGAATAATGTTTGTTTCATTGCTTCTGAAAATGGGCGAGTTATAAGGGACTCATTTTGAAAGTGCAACATGTGGATATTCCCTTGAGGGTATGCTAGCCTGGGGAATGACCTGGTTGCATAGGTATTCTTGTGACGGCGCGGCAGCCTGGGGGAATGATATGATGGTATGAGCAATCCTTTAATGGCTAAAGGCCTAGGGCTTTGCTTGATGAGATTGATATACTTGCAGGTATAGTCAGTTGAATCTGATTTGATTAATTAAGTTTATTGGATATAGAAAAATGTTATTATATGGAATTATCCTGGAAGGGATGTGTATGAAGAGGTTGTCTCTTGAGAGTTCCCTTTAGACACTTGTTTGAGTTGAGACTTAATGAATAGTCTTTGTGTACAAGGTACACGAAAGGCAATTATGCTTGATAGTTCTTTGGCCAATAGTCTGCGGCATGAGCTTCCCTTTGGGGGATGGTATCCTAAGAGGTATAGCTCTTAGAAGTCCTATGTGGATACTGCTTGGAGTTGAGACTCATCGGGTGGTATTCGTGTGCTGAGTGCACAGGTCAATAAAATCTAGGTTGCGTTATGATGAGACGTTGGACTTATAGGCAAGATTTAAGTCTTTCCAATTGGAGTTATACTCTAAAACCACCAAGAGGTGGAATAAGTAAGAAAAAATATATGAGATAGCATAATTTGATTGTGCATAGGTTATGCCAACCTAGTTAGGCAAGGGTTGGAAGATATAGCTTGAGATAATGGAATTGTAAATCCATTTGCACGTGTGTACATGGAATTCCTTATATGAAATGAGGAAACTAAGTCACATATTTATGCTCAGGAGGTGGCATGATATATGAGTGGACCTTGATTAAGGTGTAGAAGGTGAGTTACCTTATCGATTGTAGAAAAAGTGATATGCCTTGTTTGTGACATAAAAAGGCGAGGTTGCCCTGGTTGTAGCATAATAGGTGAGGTACCTAGTGCTAAAGCATAATTATGATTGTACTTAATTTAAAAATACAAGATGTAATATCATGTAATAGTAAGTTAGGTTTGTTTGAGAATTGAGGCTTCCTATATAGAAATAGTTCCTTTGAGTGTAACTCATGTAGGTACTCTGGAAAAGAAGAAGTTCTACGAAGTAGAACCGTGTGTGAAGTCCTTGATTGAGATGTGATGCTTCCTTGGCTGTTGTTCTTGAGAGGATGATCTTAGATGCATTAGTGGTAATGCTCATTGTGCACTCACCTAGAGTGGTGATGTTTGTTGGTAATTTTCATCGAGAGTGGTGATAATAGACATATTGTTGCATAAAGAGAAATACATGTATATTGAGGATGTATGCAATGTCTGTAAGAGTGAACACATTGCGTTGAATTGACAGATTTGATGTTAGTCTGATCATGGGGAGAATAGGCTCTATAACCACAGGAGTTAGATTTAGCAAAAGAAGTAATGAAATGAAAAGTCATATTTATGGATCAAATGGTAAACATCTAGGTTTAGCTTATGGCTATTAACTACAAAGGGGTGAAGATTAGTAGAGTAAAGTAATCAAGTAACATGCTTAGTGATGTCGATTGTATGTTAACTTACTGAGGTAAGGAATAAAAGACTATTGCATAATGATATGAAATTG